ACACCCCCTCCCCCAGAATCACTGTCATTGAGAATACACACACCCCCCCCCCCCCAATCCCTGTCATTGAAAATACACACACCCCCCCCCCCCATTTCCCAGAGGCTGTATCCCGGGTAGCTGCCCTGCCTTGACCGTTGACCACTGCCAGTCAGGAGCGATGCCTTTTGGCGAGAGCTGTGGTGCCTGCACGTGCTCTATTGGCGGGCTTTCTGGGCGCGGCTAGCACGATGATGTCACATCCGTCTGCCTCGGTTGCTAAGAGATGCCGGTACAGTGACTGGAGTAATGGTAATTCTCCGCGGAGAGTTCGCTCGCTATAGTGTGGGCAACACAGTCACAGACTGCAATACGGGGAATGACAGAGTAACTGTGAGAGAGTGCAATGCTCGAAGTAATTCAGAGAGACTGACTGCGATACTTGTAGAAACAGAGAGAGATTGTGACTGCAATACTGGGGAGGGGTGGTGACGGTGGCTCAGTGGTTAGCAGGGCTGCCTCACAGCGCCAGGGACCTGGGTTTGATTCCACCCTCGGGCGACTGTCTGTGTGGAATTTGCGCATTCTCCCTGTGTCTGCGTGGGTTTCTTCCCACAGTCCAAAGATGTGCAGGCTAGGTGGATTGGCTATGCTAAATTTCCCGTAGTGTTCAAGGATGTGTAGCTTAGGTGGGTTATAGGGGGATGGGTCGGTGTGGACGTGTTGGGCCGAAGAACCTGTTTCCACTCCGTAGGGATTCCATGATTCTATGATGATTTTACGACAGACAGAGCGTGACAGCGACACCGATAGTAACACAGAGACAGAGAGAGAGAGTGACTGCAATACTGGGGATAACAGAGAGAGAGAGGGAGAATGACTGCAAGACTAGGAGTAACAGAAAGAGAGTGTGACTGCAATACTGGGAGTAAAAGAGCGAGAAAGACAGAGAGAGCGACTGTGATGCTGCGAGTAACAGAGAGAGAGACTAACTGCAATGATGGGAGTAACAGAGAGTGAGAGGGATAATGACTGCAATACTGGGAGCAACAGAGAGAGAGAGTGATTGCAATACTGAGAGTAAAATACTGGGAGTAAGAGAGAGAGAGAGAGTGACTGCAATACAGGGAGTGAAAGAGGGAGAGGGAGAATGACTGCAACAGAGAGAGAGAAACTACATTACTCAGAATGGCAGAGAGAGAGAGAATGATTGCAATACTGAGAGTAAAACAGAGACAGTGCAATATTCAAAATAATTCAGAGAGACTGCCTGCAATACTGGTAATAATAGAGAGAGAGTGTGTGACAGCAACACAGAGAGTAACAGAGAAAGAGAGAGTGACTGCAATACCTGGCGTAACAGAGAGAGAGAATGACTGCAATATTGGGAGTAACAGAGAGACAGTATCTGCAATACTGGGAGTGAAAGAGAGAGAGGGAGAATGACTGCAATACTGGCAGTAACAGTGAGAGAGACTGCAATACTTGGAATGACAGAGAGAGAGAGAGAGAGAGGGAGACTGACTGCAATACTGAGAGTAAAACACAGAGTGCAATACTTGAAGTAATTCAGAGAGACTGACTGCGATACTGGTAGTAATAGAGAGAAAGAGAACATAGAACAGCACAGTACAGGCCCTTCAGCCCACAATGTTGTGTCGACCTATTATCCTACTAAGATCAAATTACCCTGCATACCCTACATTTTACTATCCTCCATGTGCCTATCCAAGAGTCACTTAAATCTCCCTAAAGTATCTGACTCCACTACCACTACCACTGCCGGCAGCGCATTCCACACGCCCACCACTCTCTGTGTGAAGGACCTACCTCTGACATCTCCCCGATACCTTCCTCCAATCACCTTGAAGTTATGCCCCCTTGTGATAGTCATTTCTGCCCTGGGAAAAAGTTTCTGACTATCCACTCTATCTATGCTTCTCATTATCTTGTAAACCTCTATCAAGTCACCTCTCATCCTTCTTCGCTCCAATGAAAAACACCCTAGTTCCCTCAACCTTTCCTCATAAGACCTGCCCTCCAGTCCAGGCAGCATCCTGGTAAATCTCCTCTGCACCCTCTCCAAAGCTTCCACATCTTTCCTATAATGAGGTGACCAGAACTGAACACAATATTCCAAGTGTGGTCTAACCAGGGTTTTGTAGAGCTGCAGCATAACCTTATGGCTCTTAAACTCAATTTCACTCTCAATGAAAGCTAAAACACCATACGCCTTCTTTACAACACTATCAACTTGAGTAGCAACTTTGAGGGATCTATGGAGGTGGACCCCAAGATCCCTCTGTTCCTCAACACTGCCGAGAATCCTGCCATTAACCCTGTATTCTGCATTCAAATTCGACCTTCCAAAATGAATCAATTCACGCTTTCCTGAGTTGAATTCCATCTGCCACGTCTTTGCCCAGCTCTGCATCCTGTCAATGTCCTGTTGCAACCTACAACAGCCCTCTACGCTGTCCACAACTCCACCAACCACTAAGAGAGTGTGACTACAATTCTGGGGGTAACAGAGAGAGGGAGTAACAAAGAGAGAGAGTGACTGCAATACCTGGAGTAACAGAGAGAGAGGGAGAATGACTGCAATACTGGGAGCAACAGAGAGAGAGACTGCAATACTCAGAATGGCAGAGAGAGAGAGGGAGAATGACTGCGATACTGGAGTAACAGAGAGAGAGGAACTGCAATGCTGGGAGTGACAGTGAGAGAGGGAGAATGACTGCAATACTGGGAGTAACAGATAGAGAGAGACTGCAATATCTGGAGTAACAGAGAGAGAGAGACTACAATACTTGGAATGACAGAGAGAGAGAATGACTGCAATATTGTGTGTAAAACAGAAAGAGGGTGCAATATTCAAAGTAATTCAGAGAGACTGACTGCGATGCTGGTAGTAATAGAGAGAGAGAGAGAGTGTAAGTGCAATTCTGGGAGTGACAGAGAGGGACTGCCATACTGGGAGTAACAGAGAGCGAGAGTGACTGCAATACTGGGAGTAAGAGAGAGAGTGTTTCTGCAATACTCGGAGTAACAGAGTGAGAGAAAGTGACTGCAATACTGGGAGTAAGAGAGAGAGAGTGACTGCAATACTGGAAGTAATAGAGAGAGTGTGTGTGACTACAATACTGTGGGTGGAGAGAAATCAGAGAGACTGCAATGCTGGGGGTGACAGAGAGAGAAAGTGACAACAGTACTGGGAGTAACAGAGAGAGAGAATGACTGCAATACTGGGAGTAACAGAGAAAGAGACTGCATTACCTGGAGTAACAGAAAGAGAGAGAGTGGCTGCAATACTGGGAGTAACAGCGGGAGAGTGACTGCGATAGTGGGAGTAACAAAGAGAGACAGTGTCTGCAATACTGGGAATGACAGACAGTGAGAATGACTGCAATACTGAGTGTAACAGAGAGAGAGAGAGTGACTGCAATACTGAGAGTAAAACAGAGAAAGAGTCCAATACTCGAAGTAATTCAGAGAGACTGACTGCAATACTGGTCGTAAGAGAGAGAGAGTGCGTGACTGGAATACTGGGGGTGACAAGAGACAGAGAGAGACTGCAATACTGGGTGTAACAGAGAGAGAGATTGACTGCAATACTGGGAGTAACACAGCGACTGACTGCAATACTAGGAGTGACAGAGAGAGAGAGAATGACAGCAATACTGGGAGTAACAGAGAGAGAGATTGACAACAATATTTGGAGTAACAACGGGAGAGAGTGAGTGACTGCAATACTGGGAGTAACAGAGAGAGACAGTGACTGCAATACTGGGAGTGAGAGAGAGAGAGAAAGAGTGTCTGCAATATTGGGAGTAACAGAAAGAAAGAATGACTGCAATACTGGAAGTGAGAGAGTGACTGCAATACGTGGAGTAAAGGAGACAGAGAGAGTGATTGCAATACTGGGATTAACAGAGAGAGAGATTGCAATACTGGGAGTAACACAGAGAGAAATTACAACACTGGGAGCAACACAGAGAGTGGGAGAAACTGCAATACTGGGTGTAAAGAGAGAATGTGACTGCAATATTGGGGCTTACAGAGAGACCGCCATACTGGGCGTAACAGAGAGAGACTGCAATATTGGGATGCAACAGAGAGTGAGACTGCAATACTAGGAGAGAGAGACAAAGAGAGGCTGCAATTCTGGGAGACAGAGAACAAGAGAGAGAGCTAGGGACTGCAGTACAAGGAGTAACAGCGAGAGGCAGAGACTGCAATACTGGGAACAACAAAGAGCAAGAGAGACTACAATAATGGGAGTAAGAGAGAGTGTACCTCCAGTGCTTGTAGTAATAGAGAGAGAGATTGCAATGTTGGGAGTGACAGAGAGAGAGAGACTGCAATACTGGGAGTAACAGTGAGAGAGTGGGAGATTGCAATACTGGAAGCAATAGAGAGAGAAAAACTGCAATGCTGGGAGTAACAGTAAGAGAGAGAGAGATTGCAATATTGGAAGCAACAGAGAGATAGAGAGAGATTGTAATACTGGGGGCAACAGTGAGTGAGACTGAAATCCTGGGGGTTACAAAGATTGAGAGAGATTGCAGCACAGGGAGCAACAATGAGTGAGACTGAAATCCTGGGGGCTACAGAGATTGAGAGAGATTGCAATACTGGGAGCAACAGAGAGATATGGAGAGACTGTAATACTGATAGCAACAGTGAGTGAAACTGCAAGACTGGGAGTAACATCAAGAGAGACTGCCATATTGGGAGCAACAGTGAGAGTCTGGAATATTGGAGACAACAGATAAGAGATTGGAATAATGGGAATCAGAGCGCTGAGGTTGGAATTTAATGGTGGCGAATATTTTTGTGGACTCTGCCCTGCTAAACAGTTAGTACAGTTTATGACGGAGACCCTTTGTTCCCTTTTGATACATGGCAGTATTGTTACATACGTTGCTGCGGCTGGCTGCTCCAGTTGTATTCAGCAGGGTCACTTTGCCCGAAAGGCCTTCCATGTCCAGCAGGGCTGGCAGCAAAGGCCAGCTCCTTCTTCCACTGGGACCACTGCTCCAGCCTCCAAATCTCTTTGTAAGTGCCAGCACTATCCTTCCCGTCTTTGACAGAGGCGAGGCAACACCGGATTAACTTGAGATCAATTCTCTCTGTTCTAGTGACGCTGGTTAGCAGAGAGTTTTCTAGATGTGATGTCCAGCCGTAAAGGAGGGAAAGCAAAGCCTGGAGCTGGGAAAGCACCGAAAAATCCCAGCCAACCAGCAAAAAAAGGTACTGCTACGTAGTGGACAGCAAACAACTTAAAGCCACAGTCTTGCGGACAGTGTTAGGAACTGTCTGAAACATGACCACAGAGCCCAGCTGATTATACTCTTCAGCACTCTGATTTGGGCAATTTCTCTTTTTTGTCCTCCTTCCACCCTGGTCAATTCTGCAAGGACTAGTGGTCCCAAATGCCTCACCCCCTTCTCCCAAGTATTTGTTTCTTGTCAGGTCCTCGTTCGATTCCGTGCACTAGTGCAGTGAATTCCAGAATTTAAGCACCCATTGCATGTAAACTGATTTTCTTTTACCATTTGCCTTAAATTGTGCCATCTGGTTTTCAAGTGTTCCACTAGAATCAGTTCTTTTTTCCTCATCCTAAATCTCTCCTGATTTGGAACCCATCTGTTAAATCTCCAAGCCTGTCCTCAGAGGGGAACAGTCCCTACTTCTCCAATCTATACACACAACTGAAGTGTCTGATCCCTGGAATCATTCCCATAATTTTACCATCCATACCACACCTAAAACCTCTACATTTTCCTCAAAGTGACGTGTCAAAGTTGAGTTGAATTCAGTTAGGGCCGTACCATCATGTTATAAAGATTCACTTGAACTTCCTTTTGGAATCTGTCTGTCTACTTATAAAGCCTAGGATTCTGTGCACACTTCTAACCATGTTTTCAACCTATCACACCACCCACCTTTACCAATTTGTGCCCCAGTAGCCTACGATGCCCCTTTCAAATTGTACCTTCGTTTCATGATATTTCTCCTCATTCTATCCTTATTTGACCTGGAGGAAGGAAGCAAATGCACTGTAGCCTGATTTGCAGACAACACAAAAATAGGTGGAAAGGCAGGTTACAAAAGGATGCAAAAACTTTGCAGAGTGGTATTGAACAGTTAAGTATGTGGACAAAAAGTTCACAAATGAAGCATTATGTGGGAAAATGTGAAGTTGTTCATTTTGGAAGGGTGAACAAGAATACAGTATTATTTAGTTGGAGAAACACTACAAAAAAGCTGCAACACTAAAGGACTTAGAACATAGAACAGTACAGCATAGTACAGGCCCTTTGGCCCACAATGTTGTGCCGACCTATTATCCTACTAAGATCAATCTACCCTGCATACCCTACATTTGACGATCCTCCATGTGCCTATCCAAGATTCCAAGTCTCTTATACATGAAACACAGAAAGTGAGCGCACAGGTGCAGCAGGTAATCAGGAAGGCTAATGCAATATTCACCCTTATTTCAAGGGAGTTGGACTATAAGAGTAGGGAAGTCTTACTGCAACTGTACAAGTTGCTGGTGAGACCACTGTGAGTAGTTTTGGTCACCTTATTTAGGAAAAGATATTTTATTGCTGGCAGTTCAGAGAAGGTTCGCTAGGATGATTCCTGCTATGAAGGATTTTGTTTTCTTTATTCATTCACAGGATGAGGGCGTTGCTAGCTCGGGAGGATTTATTGCCCATCACTAATTGCCCAGAGGGCAGTTAAGAGTCAACCACGTTGCTGTGGGTCTGGAGTCACATGTACTTCAGACCAGGTAGGTAAGGATGACAGTTTCCTTCCCTAAAAGACATTAGCGAACCAGATGGGTTTTTCCTGATAATAGACAATGGATTCACAGTCATCATTAGACTCTTAATTCCAGATATTTATGGAATTCAAGTTCCACCATCTGCCATGGTGGGATTTGAACCTAGGTCCCCAGAACGCTATCTGGGTCTCTGGATTAACAGTCCAGCAATAATACCACTAGGCCATCGCCTTCCCAATTAATTGTCTTAAGAGCAAAGGTTAAACAGGTTGGGACTCTACTCACTGGACTTTAGAAGAATGAAAGGTGATCTCATTGAAACAAAAAGGATTTTTTAAATTTATTCATTTGTGTGATGTGGGTGTCACTGGTTGGCCAGCATTTATTGCCCATCCCTAGTTACCCTTGAGAAGATTGTGGTGAGATTCCTTCTTGAACTGCTGCAGTCCAACTGCTGTGGATTGACCCACAATGCCATTAGGGAGGAAATTCCAGTATTCTTAAGGAACTTGACAGGGTAAATGCTGAGAGGCTGTTTCCTCCCATGGGAGAGTCTAGGACCTGAGGGAATAATCCCAGAATAAAGGGGTGCCATTTAAGTAAGACTGAGATGGGGAGGAATTTGTTCTCTCTTGAGGATTATTTACAATTTATATAGATGATTTGGAGTTGGGGACCACATGTAGGGTGTCAAAGTTTGCAGATGACACTAAGATGAGTAGCAGAGCAAAGTGTGCAGAGGACTGTGAAACTTTGCAGAGGAACATAGATACATTGAGTGAGTGGGCAAAGATGGAATACAATGTAAATAAGTGTGAAGTCATGCATTTTGGTAGGAGTAATAATAAAAAGGATTATTACTTGAATGGTAAAAAGTTGCAGCATGGTGCTATGCAGAGGGACCTGGGTGTCCTTGTGCATGAATCACAGAAGGTAGGTCTGCAGGTACAACAAGTAATTAGGAAGGCAAATGGAATTTTGTCCTTCATTGCTAAAGGGATTGAAATAAAAAGCAGAGAGGTTATGTTGCAGCTGTACAAGGTGCTGGTGAGGCCACACCAGGCGTACTGTGTGCAGTTTTGGTCTCCTTACTTGAGAAAGGATGTACTGGTACTGGAGGGGGTGCAAAAGAGGTTCAGTAGGTTGATTCTGGAGTTGAGGGGGTTGGCTTATGAGGAGAGACTGAGTAGATTGGGATTATATTCATTGGAATTCAGAAGATTGAGGGGGTATCTTATGGAAACATATAAAATGATGAAGGGAATAGATAAGATAGAAGTAGAGAGGATGTTTCCACTGGCAGGTGAAGCTAGGACAAGAGGGCATAGCCTCAAGATTAGAGGGAGCAGATTTAGGACTGAATTGAGAAGGAACTTCTTACCCAGAGGGTTGTTAATCTCTGGAATTCCTTGCCCAGTAAAGTAGTTGACGCTACTTCAGTAAACGTTTTTAAAGATAAGGTAGATTTTTTTTGAATAATAAAGGAATTAAGGGATACGGTGAGAACACGGGTAAGTGGATCTGAGTCCACGAAAAGATCAGCCATGATCTTATTGAATGGCGGAGCAGGCTCGAAGGGCTGGATGGCCTACTCCTGCTCCTAGTTCTTATGTTCTTATGTTCTTATGATTGTGATTCTTTGGAACTCCTTGCTACAGAGACCTGTAGGGGCAGAGACCTTGTCTGTATTTGAGCCTGAGATCAATAGATTCTTGATCAATCAGGGAATCGTGGGTATCAAGAAAAGGCAGGAAAGTGGACATGAAGAATGTCGGATTAGCCATGAATCTACCGAATGGTGGAACAGGCTTGTGGGTCGAATGGCCTACTCTTGTTCTGATTACTTATGGTCTAACTGTCCCAGAAAAAGCCCTAATTTCTTGTGGAGAGATAGTAGGAACTGCTGATGCTGGAGAATCTGAGACAACAAGGTGTAGAGCTGGATGAACACAGCAAGCCAAACAGCATCAGAGGAGCAGGAAAGCTGACGTTTCAGGTCTAGACCCTTCTTCAGAAACGTCAGCTTTCCTGCTCCTCTGATGCTGCTTGGCCTGCTGTGTTCATCTAGCTCTACACCTTGTTGTCCCAATTTCTTGTGAATCTGTTTACTTCCTTCTACACCAATGTGCTCAATCCTGCTGTACCTATGCTTACTAGCACATAACACTGTAAGTAATCTTGAGATTACTGTTTCAGCAGTCATAGGATCATAGTTCTCATCTTCTTGTAGATGCACCACAGTAATTGCAGTTGCTGTTTGAGTTCCAAACCTGGAGCTCAGTCTTCCACATTGATAGTGATTTCTGGAGATGTGTTCGCGCAGAACATATTGTATGTCCATGACTTTCCAAGGCCATAGGTGAGCCATTCGGTCAGCTGCCCTGTTAAACATTAACTTTACAAACTATTCACTATCAATCGAAATTCACAGGTAGCTGCTGGAATTTGAATTCAATTCATAAGATCTGCAATATAAAGCTAGCCATGGTGGTGACTGAAATAACTTCACAGAGGCCAGTATCCTATCGCCAAGTCACCCTTTATGTACACTTGCACAGCACTTGACACTGTGACAGCACAGGAGAGGGTGCAGAGGAGATTAACCAGGATGTTGCCTGGGTTGAAAATTTTCAGTTATGAAGAGAGATTGGACAGACTGGGGTCGTTTTCCTTAGAGCAGTGGAGATTGAGAGAGGACATTACTGAAATGTGTAAAATTATGGGGGTACAGATAGAGTAGATAGAAAGAAACCTTTCCCTGTAGTAGAGGGATCAATGACCAGGAGGCATAGATTTAAGGCAGAAGGTTTAGAGGAGATTTGAGAAAAAGTTTTTTTTCACCCACCATCTGGAACTAACTGCCTAGAAGGGTAGTAGAGACAGAAACCCTCATCACTTTGGAAAAGTGTTAAGAAGTAGATGTGTATTTGTGGTGCCAAGGCATGGAAAGCTATGTGCCAAGTGCTGGAAAATGGGATTAGATTAGTTAGGTAGTTGCTTTTATCTGGCATGGACATGATGAGCCAAAGGGCCCTTATCTGTGATTCTGTCCAGATCCCTCATGATTTTGAAAACTTTTGCCATGTCTCCTTTCAACATTCTCCTTTCCAAGAAAATTAATCCCAGTCCTTCAATCTAGAAATTTATCATCTCGAGAACCATAATTGTAAAATTCTTCTGCACTCTTTCCAAAGCCTTCACTTTCTTCCTAACGTATGACACACAGAAATAGACACAATTCCAGCTGAGGCTAAACTCCTGTACAGTTCAAGTTTGACATAACCTCCTTGCTCTATGCCTCTATTAAGTAAAAACACAGGATACCGGATGCTTTATTAAGACCTCTTTCAATATGTGCAATCCTTCAATGACTCATGGTGGGACTTAGAAGAGTAAGACGTGGCTTGATTGAAACAAATAAGATCCCGTGAGGTCTTGATGGAGTGGATACGGAGAG